GGGTTTGAGGCAAAAAGATAATGAGTGTGGTTTGGAACGTGTTATGTTTAAGAGGTCTACAAGACATCCAGTTAGAGTTGTCTGAAAGGAGAGAGAACACAGGTGATTAAGAGTGTCGAAGGCTGCTGAGCGGCATATCAAGAGTCAGGATGGAGAAAAGGCCATGGATTTGGCAATTAGGAAATCTTTGGTAACTATGGAGAGAGCAGTTTCAGTTGAAAGAAGAAGTCGGAAACCAGATTGCAGAATTTAGAAGAGAGTGAGAAGAGAGGAAGTGGAGAGGGCAGTGAGTACGGACAGCTTTCTCAAGGAGTTAATGGTGGTAGGGATCACGGGAAGAATTTTTTTATGATCACATTTGAAGGCAGAAGCTAAGGAGCCCATAGAGAGAGAGGATTGAAGATTAGTGAGAAACCAGGGGTGAAAGAGGGACAAATATGCTGGAGAGGTTGAGAGGGAAAGTAATAAGAGTAGGAGGTCCTGGCCAGGAGAAGGGCCCCCTTTTCATGCGCAACCAGAGCGAAAGGGGTAGTGAGGGAAATTGTTGGAATGACGTATGACAAAAAGAGAGAAAGGGGGAGCTGTCCTCAGGTAGCCCCAACTTTAAGACCTCAAGCCAGAAAGGCTAAAGTCACCCACTGCATCCTGGGCCATCACCACTCACCTGGAGAAAGTGAGGCTGATGACTTTGCACAGCTCCACCTCACTTAAATCCAACTCACGAACAAGTCCAGGCAAGGCCCTGGTGAGGTCATTGGTCCTCTTGGAGAACAAAGGAAGAAACACAAATATCAGGGAAGTATGAGGCAAGATTCTCAACCAAAAGAGTGAGGGAAGGCTAGGGTGGGAGGTTTGAGGACAGCTGGGAACTTTTGAAACAGCAGCTGGGGAGAGGGAGAGAGCAAATCAATTGGAAAAGTATAGGATGTTTGCCTTGGGGCACTTACGGCCAATTAAGATTAGATAAATTTGTGGGGCGGGCAGTTGCTTTCCTCCAGCTCCATTCACCAGCAGGAATGGAAGCCAAGGAGGCAGATGGAAGGGCAGTCCAGGACTGGGGATCTGGCCAGCTGTGATCAGTTCTAGGACAAGGGGGCAATGGCTATTTGTTACTGTTGTATTGAGTCATTTCAGGCGTGTCTGACTTTGTGATCCCATTTGGGGTTTTCTCGGCAGAGATACTGGAGTGGTTTGTCATTTCTTCCTCCAGCTCACTTTACAGACAAGGAAACTGAGACAAAGACGATGAAGTGTGACCCAGAGTCACACAGCTCGTGTCTGAGGCCAGATTTGTACTTGAGAAGATGAGTCCTCCTGACTGAAGGCCAGGCTTTCTGTCCGCTGCACCACCTGGCTGTCCTTGGCAATGCATTTGAGATTAAGGGTAGTGGAGACCTGAATTGGTTCGCCAAGTGTTTTGAGATGGAGAAAAGAGAGGGGCAGCTAGGTGGTGCAGTGGATAGAGCACCAGCCCTGGAGTCAGGAGGACCTGAGTTCAAATCCGGTCTCAGACACATAACACTCACTAGCTGTGTGACCAAGGACAAGTCACTTAACCCCAATCGCCTCACCAAAAAAAAAAAGAGGAGAGTGTAGCCTGAGTAGGGGAGGTCACACAGAGAAGAGGATGTCAGACACAGCCAAAGACGGGGATGATCGCAGATTGTGACCAGATCAAGGAAGATGACAGACCAGGAAGTGGAATATTTATGAATGATGGTAAAATGGAGGGTAGGATCATCTCTCGGGGCAGCTGAGGTGGGGAGGAGGAGAAGGAAGAGAAGGAACTGGGGAGTCATCAAGATGTATGCAATTGAAAAAAGAAGTTAAAAAATGTGTGTGTGGCAGGAGATAGAGAGGAAAGACTGGAGAGTGAGCCAAGCCCTAAACTCCCTGAGGAAAGAGGATGCCCTGGGAGGTGTTAGATAAGCGGCTGGGCATCTGGATTGGGTGATAATTTGGGTAGTGTGAACCTTCCAGGAGAAAAGAATGGTTAGAGATGGGTAGCAAGAGACGGGAACTGGCAATAGGGAGCAAAGATTATTGACTTCCTCACCGTGGCCTGTGAATCAGAGCATGTAACAGCAGAGCCAGTCCTGGAAAGAGTGATGAGAGAAAGGTTAGGGTCAGGAGGGAGCCCCAAGACAGACAGAAAGAAAAGGAAAATGTTTCAAATAAAATAAGTTTGTTAATACTGGGCAGGCATTTGCCAGATCTGAAGCGGAAGGGGGCCTAGGGTTGATATTGACAGAAGTGAGGAAACAATTGGGGTGGGGCAGGAAGGAGAATAGAGGGGGCCAGTACCAGGAGATAGGAGTGTGCTGCCCCTAGGAGGCTGGCAGGCAGCAAGAGAGGTGAAAGCCTTGCTTTCTGCTGATGAAGGCCTCATTTCTAAAATATATAGAGAACTGAGTCAAATTTATCAGAATACAAGTCATTCCCCAACTGATAAATGGTCAAAAGATATGAACACAAATGAAGAAATTAAAGCTATAGTTATATTAAAAAAAAAACCTCTAAATCACTATTGATTAGAGAAATTCAAATCAAAACAACTCTGAGGTACCACGTCATACCTATCAAATTGGCTAACATGACAAAACAGGAAAATGATTAATGCTGAAGATGTGAGAAAATTGGAACACTAATGCATTGTTGGTGGAGTTGTGAACTGATCTAACCATTTTGGAGAGCAATTTGGAACTATACCCAAAGGGCTATAAAAATGTACATACCCTTTGACCCAGCAATACCACTTCTAGATCTGTATCCCAAAGAGATCATACAAATGGGAAAAGGAACCACATGTACCAATATATTTATAGCAGCTCTGTTTGTGGGGGCAAAGAATTGGAAATTGAGGGGATGTCCATCAATTGGGGAATGGCTAAACAAGTTGTGCTATATGAATGTGATGGAATACTATTGTGCTATAAGAAATGATGAGCAGGCAGACTTCAGAAAAACATGGAAAGAGATATATGAACTGATGCCGAGTGAAATGAGCAGAATCAGGAGAACATTGTACATAGTAACAGCCACAATGTGCAATGACTGACTTTGATAGACTCATCTCTTCTTAGCAATGCAAGGATCCAAGACAACTCTAAAGGATGGATAATGCTGTCCACATCCAGAGAAAGAACTTAGGAGTCTGAACGCAGATCAGAGCAGACTATTTGCTCTCTTTTTTTTTCGTTTGTTTCTTCTTTCTCGTGGTTTCACCCATTGGTTCCAATTCTTCTTAACCACATGACTAATGTGAAAAATATGAATGTACACGTAGAGCCTATATCAGATTGCATGTCGTCTTGGGGTGGGGAGAGGAGAGAGATGAGGAGAAAACTTGGAACTCAAAGTCTTATGGAAGTGAATGTTGAAAACTAAAAATAAGTAAATTTAAAAAAAAGTCTTGCCTTTTGCAAGGCAGGAGATGAAAGTGATTTTGTCCTCAAAAGACAGCGAGACAGTTTGCTGCTGGAGACAGTCCTGGGGCAGGGCCTGATGGAAAGCAGGCAGCCATAGGAGGCAGGGATCTCTTTGCATCTGGTCATTCAAACAGCCATGAAGCCACCTGACCAGCCCACATAAGATCACAGATTTAGAGATAGGCAGGGCCCCAGAAGCCCTTTCAATTACAGATGAGGAAACTGAGGCTGAGAGGTTGTGACTCGCCCAGGGTCACACAGTTTGCACACATCTGAGGTACAATTTGAACTCAGGTCTTCCCGAGTTTCAGGCCCAGTACTCTCACCCCTCTGCTGCCTCAAGGCCTTATTTCTCCAACTCGTCTACCAGGATAAACCAAGATTTGCCAAAGACTGCCAGGCACATTCCTTCCGAGGCCCCCTCCAGCCTCTCCCAACTGCCACTCACCTTGGCTCAGCCTCTTTCATCCCCTCCCCCGCCTGCAGCCAGGAAGGTCCAGCTCCAGCCACACCCCTCCCCCTTCCATTCCTCCCTTCTCAAAACCTCTGTACTCCTTACTGACAGGATGCTATGAGAAGGGCTGGATTGGAAGTCAAAGGATCCAAGCTCGACTCCTACCTCCACCATCTGTACGACATTGACTTCACCTTTCTGGGACTCAGTTTCCTCACCTGCTAAGTGAGGGGGTTGGACAAGATGGCCCCTGGAGGTGCCTCTCTACAATCCTAGAAATCCAGTCTTCCCAAATTGGAGACCTCAAGTGGTTCCCAAGACACTGAGTGGACATCATTCGGTTAACAGTAGGCCGGAGTCTGCAGCTTCCCCTGTGGCTCCTAGCTCAGGCCTCTGAGGCTATTCCACCCCCAACAGTGGGGCAGCTTCTCAACTACCATCCCATCCCCCACACCCTTCATATTCTTCTCTCCAGGCTAAAGGCCAATACCTCACAGTTACCAGGAGGAAAGCGTTTTGTGAAAAAACAAATACACTGAAAATATGAGATATGAGACCATATTATGGGGAGGGATGGCAGCTCATTTTAATTGGATATACCGTCATTTAGGGCGCCTCTGCCTTCATGATTCAGGCAGGGGGGAAGAAAGAATCATCTCCAGAGCAGGCTACAAAGCCGATAGCCACATGTCCTTTGGGAAGGCCCGGAGCCATGAGTGTAATTCAAAGAAAAGTGGCCTAACTCTAAAGTCAGAGGGCCTGGGTTGGAATCTCAGCTCTGCCATTTACTGTCTGTATGACCGGGCCTCAGTTTCAACTGTAAAATGAGGGAGGGGGGCTAAAATGGATGCGTTCCAAGACTCATCTCTGAGCTTGCCCACGGGTTAGGGAGGAGGCCAGAATGGCAGGTGGCAGCTGACAGCTTCCTATATTGAGTAATTTGTCTTGCTAACTAGGTGCCAAGCTTCCTGGTCTCATTTTTGGTGCCCTGTGGCCTAGTTCTATCTCTGGTAGGGGAACCCAGTGAGACTGTACCTCCTCCTCCTCCGAATGTCCCCCAAGAGTCAAACCAAACCCTAAACACAATGTCTCTTCTCCAGTTTATTAAAGAAGGAATCAGGACCCCTGTTGTGTCAAGAAAGGAAGGCTGATGCTTAATCACTGGGAGGCTGGAGGGGAGAAGGGAGGAGGAGGGCAGCAGTGACACCAGCTGGAGCCAGGGAGGGCAGTCACCCCACACAAGGGCGACTGCGGAGAGGGGCCGGCAGGCTGGTCCCAACTGCTCTTCATCCTGACTGCCAGGAAGCAGGGGAGGCGGCAGCAGCCAGCTCTGGCAGGACTGTGGGGAGAGGAGAGAGTCAGGAGACGGCCCCACCAAGCAGGAGCTACAAACACCAGGGAGGATGACCCGCTGTTCACTCTCCTTTCCCACTCTAAATTTAATAAGCATTTGCTAAACACATCTGTGTGCCAGGCACTGGGGATACAGAGATAAACGTGGGGAGGAAATAGCTCCTGCCCCCAAGAAGCAGACGGTCGGTCTACCGACCCAGGTATGTACCATCTTCACAAAACATAGAGGGACCAGCCTCAGAAGGAGGGAACACTTGAAGGGACTAGGGCTCCTACAAAGCTAAGCGTGCCTTCCAAAGACACAGACGTCCTCAATGAAGAGAAGAAACATTGTATACGCAAGTGGGCAAGAGCAGAGTTGATGTAACGTTCATTCTCGAAAGATCTTAGGATCCAGAGTGGGAAAAGTTTTGAATCTGAGACAGGTACCACATCCTGGAGGCAAGGCCGAAGCTTCCTGAGGCCATCGCCTGCACACCTCTCATCCTCCCCCCTTTTCTCTTTCCCAAACCTCTGTTTCCTGTGGACAGTTACCCCAGATCCCAAGATCCCCCTCACCCCCCAAAAACCAAAACCACACACACCACCCCTTCCACCTTCCCCCTTCCGTCTTCCGTCTTCTCCACACTCACTCTGCAAAGTGTAGGTCCCAGGTTCTAGCTGCAGCATTGGGGGGAGAACGAGGAAAAAGTTTCTGGGCCAAGGGGCCAATGAAAGAGCAGGAAGGGACCGAGTTGGAGGAGGCCGTTTGGGGGACTGCTGCTGGGGGGGGCGCTGTTTAAGGGAGTTCTGTTTGGGGGATGGCTGTTTGGGAGGAAAGGGAGAATGGCCCCACCGGACCCAGCAGCCACAGACAGAGCAGCCCAGTGGAGAGAGATCTGAGACATGGGACATGACGGCAGAACAGCTCTGGTCCCCCTGGGGGGAGCCTCGACGAGCCCCCCCGTGGTGGGCAGGCCGTTCCCTGGTCCAGGCCCAGTGGGATGGTTCCTTTGCCATGACCTGAAAGAAGACAAGATCAGTAGCCCAAGCATTCTGGGGATAGGGGAGGGGAAGCTGTTCTCATTTGCCTCTGGGAGGGCTCAGAGTGAATCTAGAAGTCAGAGGGCCTGGATTCTCTACTTTATCCAGGTCCCTTCCCCCCTCTAAGCCTCAGTTTCCCCAAGTATAAAATGGAGTTAGGCTAGATTTCCAAGGTTCCCCCTAGCTCTGACACCCCAGGTCCTACGTTCCGAGGCCCCCCCCCAGCTTGGGTACCCCATGATTCCCTCACCTCTTCACAACAGTGCCGGCTCACAGCTGCCCGGTAGCCCATCCGGGCCCACAGCTGGTCCCTCCGACGAAGGAAGCTGGGCACGAGCTTCCGCCAGCCCCGGCCCAGGGCCCAGGGCAGAATCTCATACTTGGGGTCCTCTCCGTCTTCCTCCATGTCATTGGCTAGATACCTGCGGCACCCACCAGGGGTCACAGGAACAAAGCCAACACAAGCATGATTTTAGGAATGTTGTCTTTAAACGGCCCCTTTGCTAGCCTCTCTCCCTGCCCCCACACTCACCCCTCTTACTTACAGGGCTAAGAAGAGGTTGCTGTGGGTATATTCACTGAGCTGCAGGCCAGCTCTTTGGAAATAAATCAGGGCCATTGCCAAGAGATACTGCACAGAGACAGAAATAGGAGCGTCGGCCTCTAGTCCTCTCAGTGCGCTTCAGTTAGTCCCCAGTGGGCCCCACTTCTCTCTCCCTTTAGACCTCAGGTAACCCCCTTGCAGGGCAGGGCAGGGCAGGCCAGGGCTGCCACTCTTCTCTTCTTTTATTCCTGCTGCAGGGCACAGAGCAGGTGCTGAACAAGTGCTCACTCAGGGAAGTCCCTTTGGATTGGCGGGTCCAGTTAAGCGTTAAGGCAGGGACTGGACTGTCATGGGTATCTGCATCCCCAGCCTGGTACAGAATGGATGCTTAATGCATGCTGCCAGGTCAATGCCTCGCTGCTTTTAGTGATTTTAGTGAGAATAAATGGTGGGGGGGGGGTGATCACGTTTGCAGGTGTCCCCACTAATTCAATGAGGACACAACCCCCTAGTCCTTCCAGGAGCCCAAGCCTCCACAGCTGGAACTGCCCCCCCCCCCCAAGCTTAAATGCACACACCTTATCAGAGATTTGAAAGCATAGATCGGTGGCAAAGAATTGCTGTAGGTAGCTGTCCTCTGGGGAGGGGGAGGCAGAGAAAAGAGGAATCAGTCCCCTCCCCATACAAGGTTAATATCTCCACCCTGGGAGCCCCCTTACCCAGGCAGGTAAGAGTGAGTTCAGCCCAGGGCCAATATGGGAGGTGGATGCGCCCCGGGGCAAGGGAAGAATGAGATTAAACCCCATCCTTGGCCAGTGGGCAAAGCTGTGACCCAGCCATTGCCAGCTCACCCCCAGTCCTGGCCCTCCTAGGGGACCCCTGATGCCAGCCAGCCAGGACGCCTGTCATATCCCACCCCCTCTCACCTAGAAGGTTAAGGAAGGCCTGCACCTCCTGGAGCTGGCGGGAGGGGAGGTGCCCAGTGCCAGCCCAGACCCCTGGCTTCACCCAACTGGTGACCGCAGGAAGGACGGCAGCGGACTCCAGGCCTCGGTTCATCAGGTTTATCATCATAGCAGGAGGGAAGGAAGGAAGGAAGGATGGAAAGGGGATACAAGACCTGTCCAAAAGAGGAGGCAGAACGCAAGCCTCAGCCTCCCTTCTGGATCTAGGGGGAGAAGGGCTGGAGGACAGGAACAAGCTGGTGGTAGAACCCCTCAACCCCTGCGGCACCTGCCCCTGGGGTGGGCTCTGGGTTTCAAGAGGCTACTGATTCCCTCTCCCGGAGCCCCACCCCCAGAGCCAGCAGGGAAAGCTTTCTCTGTGCCCAACAAACCCATCCTATCTGGCCGCACCAGCCGGGGGAGGCTAACGACAGACCTTCACCCTCACCCTCACCGTTCCCGCCCCTCCCCCCATACACTCCCAGGGAGAGGATGGAGAGAAACTGACTCACCTGAACAAGGTGATTACCCACAGCTTATCCCTCCCCCACCCCCAACTCCTCTCTATAAGGGCTCAGCCCCTCCCCACGCCCACCCCCTACAGGTAGGCCCAGCCACCAATCAACCTTTCCAAGGTTCCTACAATCTTCCTGGAGAGACTTTTTTCTCCTCTTTCTCACCCCTCACTCACTCCAGACCCCTGGAGGAATGGATTGGGGCCTAGTCACAGGCAGGTAGCTCATCTAACTGAAGAGTACGGAGCCAGATGAGGTGGAACCTAGCTGTCTGTTACCAAGGTGCCTAGGGCCAAGGTAGGTGTGGAACCTAGCCTATTGCCCTCCAGTGATTTTGACTTGGCTGGATAGGATAAGAGCCCACCTCCCCCCCTCCCCTTGGATAAACTCCTTCGGGTTGGGAACTGGGAGGGCAGAAGGTGGATGGAATCAGCCTGAGGCCTGGGGGCAATCCACAGGACCTGGAATCAGGTGGGCCTGGATTCAAAACCTGCCTCGGACACTAGCTCACTGTGGTGACCCAGGGCAAGTCACTTAACCTCTCTGCCTCAGTTTCCTCATCAGTAAAACACAGATAATACTAGCACCTATTTCACAGGATTATTGTGAGAATCAAACCTTTTTTGCAAACTTTCAAATCCTACATAAATGTTAGCAATTCTTATTAGAGAAGAAGGGGAATTTTGAGGGTATGGAGTCCAACCCTCTCATTTTTTACAGATGAGGAAACTGAGCTTCAAGATGATTTATCATCCATCTCCCCAGAGAGTCAGACAGAGGCAGCACAGTGGAGAGAGCACCGGCCCTGGAGTCAGGAGGATCTGGGTTCAAAGCGGGCCTCAGACACTTACTAGCTGTGTGTGGTCACTTAACCTCAACTGCCTCAAAAAAAAAAAAAAAAAGACAGAGACGGTCAGAAAACATTTACTAAGCACTGGGGACACAAATACAAGCAAACAAGATGATGTCTGACCTCAAGGAGCTTATACTCTAACAATGGAAGACAGCAATAAAGGAGACCTGGAAAGCAGAGATCTCTGAGGAACAAAGGAAGAAAAGAGGGATGTTTACTTAGCCCGGAGAAGAGAAGACTAGGGGAGACCGAGGGGGGCTGCCTGAAGGTCTGAAGGGCTATCCTGTGGGGGATGTCAGGTTTATTTAGGATATTTTAGAGGGCAAAATCAGCAATCAGGAAATTTCACAGAAGTAAATGGAGGCTTGAGGTCAGAAAAAAAAAAAAAAAGGCCCAACCTAATAATTAGGGATTAATTAATCCCCAAATTGGAATGGTCTGTGTTGGGAGGGCCTCCCAAAAGTGGAGGTCTGCAAGCAAATAATGCCCCTCATCTGGCATGGCAGGGATCCTTAGAATCACCAGCTCAGGGACCAACCTGCAGGAGGCCTTTCCTCACTCACTTGTTAGAAATGTCTACCTTTATTCTATTTACTCATATCCACTTTAACCCTCCTCAGTGGAATGTAAGCTGGGAGTGGGTTGGGGAGAGGAAAAGTTGTCTAATTTCCCCAGGGTCTAGTGTGTGATATGATGGGTAGTATGTCTCCCTTACAATCTAGAAGGGCTTGGGGCCTAAAGACTTGGATTCGAATTCCACCTAAGACACAACCTTGGCTGTTACTTCTGCTCTGGGCCTCGGTTTCCTCGTTTGCAAAATGAGATTGCACAGTGATTGAATGTAAATTTTTTGAGAGCTTATTTTTGAGAACTTATTTGTGCAGTATCTGCACATAGCAGATACTGGACAAATATTTATTGATTGATGGATCAGTTCAGTGAATGATTACAATTCTGTACACAGAACAAAAAAAAAATGAAGTTGAACTTGAACAATTGTAATGACAATACTTGGAAGAGTTGAAAAAACGTCTCCCTCCCTTCTGGGAAGAGTTGGGCCCAGACACGGGTTCATGAGATAGTATTTGAAAAGCGTTTGGCATCCTGCCTAGAACATAGTAGGCACTTAATAAATGCCTGTCCCCTTCCCTGCTTTATTTCTCTAATTATGAGATCATGAAGCTTGAGATGGAAAGGACTCCAGAAAGCATCTGAGGGCAACCTACTCCTTTGACAAGGCAGTTAGGTGGAGCCACAGTGGGTAGAGCATTGGGCCGGGAATCAGGAAGACTCATCTTCCTGAGTTCAAATCCAGCCTCAGACCATTACTAGCTATGTGACCCTGGGCAAGTCCCTTAACCCTGTTGGCCTCAGTTTTCTCATCTGTAACGTGAGCTGGATAAAGAAATAGCAAACCACTCCAGTATCTTTGCCAAGAAAACCCCAAATGGGGTCACAAAGAGTCGGATATGACTGAACAACAACTTTTTACAGATGAGGAGACCAACAGGTTAATTAGTTTTGCTAAACTGCTTCCCTTCTCCCCCTTTCTTTTAAAATTGCCGTTAGAGGGGATGGCTCACCCAGCGGGAAGGGATAAAGGGATTCAGAAACAGAGGTCCCTCTCATCAGCTCCCAGGGGTTCAACTCCCATCTCCGTGAAAGAGAGTCCTAGAGCCAGCCCAGAAGTCTCTCCGGAGCTCAAAGGCCACCCATTAGACACTGTCAGCTGGATTTCCCACAGGCAGCTCAAACTTAACGAGTCCAAGCAGACTCATCAACACTTCCCCTAAGAACCCATCCCTTATCCAAATGTCCCTAATTAAATGTCACCTGAAGGGAGCACAGTCCTTACAGTTACTCAGGTTTGCAAACGTGGTGTGGTGCTCTACTCTTCCCTCTCTCACCTCCAGTGTCCAAGCTGGTGGCTGTTTTACCTCCAGGGCAGCTCTCGCCTTAATCAGTCCAGGCCCTCAACACCTCTCACCTGAACTGTTCTAATGAGGTCTTAATTGGCCTCCAGGCTCACCCAGCTCCAAAGTGATTTCTTAAGTTCCATTCTGATGAAGGAAGGAGACAAATATTTATTTACTGATTGGTCAGTTCATTGAAATGAGTACAATTCTGTAGAGAGAACAAAAACAAACCAAAAAAAAAAAAAAACAAAACTCAAACATGAGTGAGTGATTGTACCGACAAAACGTGGCCCTGAGAAAGAGTTGGCATCTTCTACAGCCTGCTTTCACTGCGTCTGCCCTTTGTCCTTGGCAAGGTAGTTTCCTTCGATGTTGCGGAGCAAAGGTGTCTAACAGGCGGCCAGGTTAAAATGTAATTGGAAAAAACTGAAAATAAGTAGAAATCTAAGAGAACATAGAAAATGTGGGTTTATGGTTTCCTAAGTCACCATGCAGCCCCCAGGGACTCTCACGTCTGGTTTAAGGGCCCCTTTTCTATTTCCTTCTGCCACCCACTGTTGTCAGGCAGCATGATTCGTATCAACAGCATCAGGAAATGAGATGAAGGAAAAGTAAAGGCGACAATAACAACAAAAAGATTTATTTTCCAGCTCGGTGGGGGGGAAACTGTAGAATCCAAGGCAGCGTGCAGTGGCCGCTTAGGGTAGGAAGCAATTACAGCTGAACCAAGAGAGAAGGCATAACCACTTCACTTTTGAGAATGGTCTTCAGGCTGGAAAGGATATTCTGAACAACAGGCGCTGTTCATCACCCTCTATGCTAATGCTTTCCCTCTGATATTCTGTCCAATCCAACCGGTATCTATCTTCTTTGCACCTTGTTTGCAAGTGCCCCCCCCCATTAGACTTGGAGCTCCATGAGGGCAGGAACTATGTTTTCACCTTTCTTTGTATCTCCAATGTTTAGTATAGTACCTGGCACAAAGTAGGTGTTTAATCAATATTCGCAGACTGACCGGGGAAGAGCGTCATGTTTCCCAAGCATAGAAACAGTTTCGGAGGGTGGAGTGTCTAGGACAGATGTTTCTGCAGCAGATAGCTTGACCTGTTTGTGCTAACCACGGCAGGTGTTAGCCCCCTACTTTGGCCAGTGTTCTGGTAGGCTCAAGATGGACTTTATTAAATGCAAAAGAAACATTACAGATATTATTTCTTCAACTTAGTATAAATTTGGCCCATATTTTGTACCAACTTGGAATTTCTACCAGGAAAACTTCCTAATTTTGATGAGCTCAGGTCTCATTTTCTCAGGAAGATATTTATCTCCATTTTCTCTGCTTGGCCTACCAGCAAACACTCACGTTATGGCTTAATTCGTTGTTATTACTTGAAAGAGAAAGCTAATGAAGCATCTTGCAGTCCAATAGTGTCAAACTTGAGGAGAAAGGGATCCCTGTGGCCATGCATTGATTTAGAAAACCACAAATTCACATTATTTATTGTGTTTTTATTTATTTTATTAAACATTTCCCAATTGCAATTTATCTGGTTCAGCCCCACTCAGTGAGAGTTTGACACCTCTGTCTTAGAGATTTCCCAAGAGAAAGCCTGCCAGTTCACTTAAAAGGTCAAGCATCTCCACGCCCAACCCAGGGCCTTGCTCTCCTCTGAGTTTACACATCTAAACTTCCCAAGAGGAGGAACACTCCCAGAAGACTTTGCCCAAGGACAGCTCCCATTTCTGTCCTGCCTCCCAATTTTCCAATCATGGCGTGGGAGGATATACTGTCTCATTACACCTCACCTACCTCATTGGCACTTCTGAGGACTTTAACCAGGAGTGGCTTCAATCTTGGAATTTCCACTGGGCAAAAAGCAATGCCATCCCCACTTCTACCTTGGCTGAACTCTAGCATGCAGATGTGGCCACCAACCTGGAGCTCAGAGAGAAAGACAGATGGGGGGGCGAAGGAGAGAGAGAGAAGATGAATCTTTTATCAGTAAAGTAGATGCAGCAATTGGAATGGGAGCTCTCTGAATTTAAGGAATTTAAAATTTAGGAGACTCAACCAGTTTGTCTCACTCATTTCAATTTCTTCAGCAAATGCCTTTCCAGTTGAGTAGTACCCTAGAGTCTGTACTAGGGAAGGGAGAAAGGGAAAAACACACTCACAAAATTTATCAAAGAACAGATTCCAGAGATGGGAGCAGGATGACACAGGCCTCCAAACCTGCATCCATATCGGGGTGATGAAGGTCCCCATATTGGGCAGTGATACGGCAATTCCAAAAATGGCTTCCTAGCATTCCCTTTATGTCTGGGGAAAGTCCCTTCTCTGGCATGAGTTAGGGATGCTCATTCCTGTCCTGGGATTCACAGTACGTCTTGGTGGGCAGCAAGGTGCCGCCTGCTACTGTCTCTGCTTAGAGCCTCTGAGGCGCCAGGTCCAATGGCCCATTCTCAGCCTTCATTGTCCTTGACTTCTCTGCAGCCTTTGACATGGCCAGTCCTCTCATAGATTCTCCCCTCTCTAGGTTTTCAAAACATGGTGCCTCCTGGTTCTCCTCCTTCCTATGTGACCACTCCTTCCTAGACTCCTTGGCTGGATCTTTGGTCAGATAACAACCACACTGACTGTAGTGTGTCACAGGCCTCTGTCTTGCGCCCTCTCCTGTCTCTCCACTCTGCTTCCCTTGGGGATCTCATCAGTTCCCATGGACATAATTACCATCTCTATGCTGATGATTCTCGAAGCTACTTCTCCAGCCCTGATCTCTCTTCTCGTCTGCAGTCGCACATCTCCTACTGCCTTTCAGACATCAGAACCAGATGTATGGTAGACACGTTAAGCTCATGTGTCCCAAAACTGAACCCATTTTCTTTCCCCCTAAACCTAAACTGTCCTCCCAGTCACCCAGGCTAGGCACCTAGAAGTCATCCTTAACTCTCCACTATCTCTCACCCCCCATGTCCAATCTGTTGCCAGAGATCCACTGATTCGACATTTGCAAAATCTCTTGAAAATGCCCCCTTCTGTCCTCTGACACTGTCACCACTCAGGCCCTCCTCACCTCATACCTGGACTGTTGCCAGAGCCCTCTGGAGGGTCTGCCTGCCTCAAGCCTCTCCCCATTCTGATCCAACCTCCATTCAACCACCAAAGTGATCATGTCATCCCTCTACTCGATAAACTCCAGGGGCTCCTCATTACATCAAAGATCAAAAATCCTCTGTTTGGTGTTCAAAGCCCTTCCCCCACCTTTCCAGTCTTCTTACACTTCACACTCCTTCTCCTATCCCTCCTTCCCTTCAATCCAGTGACACTGGCCTCCTGATCATTCCTCAAACAAGGCACTCCATCTCCCAACTCAGTCATTTTGAGTAGCTATCTCTACCTGGGATGCTCTTTCCTCAACTCAGCCAACTGGCTTCCCTGGCTTCTTTTAAGTCTCAGCTAAAATCCCACCTCTTTTTTTATTTTTATTTTTTATTTTTTTAGGCAATTGGGGTTAAGTGACTTGCCCAGGGTCACACAACTAGTAAGTGTCAAGTGTTTGGTCTGAGGCCGGATTTGAATTCAGGTCCTCCTGACTTCAGGGCTGGTGCTCTATCCACTGTGCCACCTAGCTGCCCCTGAAATCCCACCTCTTACAGGAAGCCTTTCCAACCAACCCCTCTCAATTCCATTGCTTTTGCTCTTTTAACGATCTCCTATTTATCCTGTATAGAGCTTGTTTGTACGTAGGAGTTTACATGTCATCTTCCCCATAGATTGTGAGCTCCTTGAGGGAAGACTGTCTTTCTTATATCCCCAGGACAGTGAGTGCCACATGGTAGGTGCTTAATAAATGTTTGTTTTTTGTTGCTTATAGATCAAAACTTTGGAATCTCTGAGTATAGTAATTGAGGGGAATAAGCCACTGAGAGTGGGGATGCTTCTCTCTTTTTTTTTAAATTTTTAGGCAATTGGGGTTAAGTGACTTGCCCAGGGTCACACAGCTAGTGTCAAGTGTTTGGTCTGAGGCTGGATTTGAACTCGGGTCCTCCTGACTTCGGGGCCGGTGCTCTATCCACTCTGCCACCTAGCTGTCCTGTAGGGATGCTTCTCAATGTTCTTATTCATGGTTGGCTGACATGGAAGAAATGGGAGATCCCTGCTGATGGATCCCAGGAAGGACGTTCAGTCCCCATCCCTTGGCCACTATTTAGCCAAGGCAGCTGGAGGGCTAGCTATCCTCCAGAGCTGGTCACTGAGGGTAATAGCTCCTATTTTTATTTTATCATTGTTATTGTTGAGTCAATGCAGTGGTGTTCAACTCATCATGGCCCCATTTGGGGCAAAGACATTGGAGTGGTTTGCCATTCTCTTCTCCACCTCATTTTAAGAGTGAGGAAACTGAGGCAGACAGGGGTAAGTAATTTGCCAAGGGTCACACAGTAAGTGTCTGAGGTCAGATTTGAACTTAGGAAGACAACTCTTCCTGACTCCAGGCCTGGCACTCTATCCATTATGCCACCTAACTGCCCATTTTTGTAGGGCTTTGTAAAACACTGTTGTCCCAGCAGCTCTGAGAAGGAGGCGATAGGAGGGTTATTCTGTCCATTTTGTTTATTTTTTAAATGTTTTCCCTCATTTTATTTTTTTTCTTAATTACAATAAAAAATTTAAAATTCATTTATTAAAATTTTGAGTTCCAAATTCTACCCTTCACTCTCTTCCTCTCCTACCTCCTTGAGAAAGCAAGTACTTTGATATAGATTAGACATGTGAAGTACTGCAAAACATGTTTCCATATTAGCCACGTTGCAAAAGAAAACAGAGACCAAAAAAGGTTTAAAAAGCATACTTCAATCTGCATTCAGATTCCATCAGTTTTTTCTCTGGAGGTGGATAGCATTTTCATTATAAGTTCTTGAGAATTGTCTTGGATCACTGTATTGCCGAGAAGAACTGAGTCGTTCCTATTGATCGTTGCACAATATTGCTGCGTACAATGTTCTCCTGGTTCTGCTCATTTCACATTGCATCAGTTCATATAGGTCTTCTCAGGTTCCTCTGAAACCATCCCCTTCATCATTTCTTATAGCACACTAGTATTCCATCAAATTCACGTACTGTAACTTGTTCAGCCATTCCCCCAATTGATGGTTATCTTCTTAATTCCCAGTTCTTTGCCACCACCAAAAGAGCTGCTGTAAATACTTTTGTACATAAAGGTTTCTTTTTCCTTTGATCATGACAACCATTCACTGTGGTGGGGGAAGGACAGGGTAGTTCTTTCCATTAACACTCAATTAGTCCCTGTGTGTATAATGTTCTTGGTTCTGTTTACTTTCACTACATCAGTTCAAGTCAGTCTTCTCACACTTTTCTGCATTCTTTCTATGCATTATTCTTTATGGCACAGTAATATTCTATGACACTTACTGGCCACAATTTATTCATCAACTGATGGGCATTGAGTGGGCTTCCAGTTTTTTGCTTGCAAACTGATCCAGTTTCCCGGGAACCAACCCTCATGAGTATGGCCTGGCACAGCTCCAGGAAACTGGCTATAGCAATCCATGAAACAAAACT